TTCCAACGACGAATTCCAACCACGGGTAGCACAACTTTAATACTAACCAATGAATTTTCTCGTGTCTTTTTCAACTCTAATAGTTAATTCAAGGTTTTAACGTCTTACTATCTTACAACTATATATTTATATCTATATATACACCCGACTGTGTATACCTAACTTAAAAACATTAGTATATTCCTTTTTACGATCTAAAATTGATATTATAAAACGATGGCAAGCACATCGAATGTCAAGAAATCTCCAAATCAACAACGCAATTCACTGAACACGAATTACAATGATCAGCAACATCAACCACGTCAGATTTTGCCGTCAAGACAATCATGTCAAATCAATAGTCGAGCTTACTCACAGGTCCTTCAACCTCATATCATTGTCCCCACCCAATTTGGCTATGGTGATATTATGACAAGTAATTTGACTTTGTCAAAGGAAGCGTCAATGCCATTACAGTTCTTTCAAGATTATGACAATTGTCAAGCAGGTCTGTTCGGGCATGCTCAACATTACCCGACGACTTACTTTCAGCAAGTGCAACTATCTCAACCCCATTCTAGGACCCCTCCGGTGGATCCCATATCGATCGGTCTATTTTGCGATGATTGCGCTCGCTACGCCAGTGTGGGCAATGAGTCATATCTCCTACAGATCATTTGTAAACAATGCAAGGATAAATACCTGAATGTGAAAAACCATTGCAGAAATTCCAATACCATTACGGTTCCATCAACGCCCCGTGGTGGTGCTCCAATTCTCCATGCCGCTACCACATCCCAGACAATTCCCCAGCACACCATGGTTACACAAGCAATCTCCATTTCTAACATGCAATCAAACCATCCCGTTTCTCCCGTGGTGCCAACTCAGTCGATGCCGATGTCTCTAGACCTTCCGCACACCTTATCATCGGACATTGTTCAATACTCTATTCCTCCCCACTCCGCAAATTCTCCGTCTGATTTATCAATTGATTTCCCCATTGATCAACCTTCATCTATCTGCTACGACAATAACCCGCTGGTTCACAGACCCAGTACGAGAGTGTTGAATGATGTCTTCTTCTCTGATCAAATGATTGATGATTCAATGGATCAATCTCTTTATTTCGATAGTGACGCTTCATCTGACACCGATATCTCGACCCCAAATTCACACCATTCACCACAAATGTCTCCCACTGAAATTTTTGGTTGCGATGATTTGATTTGGAGTTTAATTTCTGACAATTTTGACGAGTCAAAGGACCTGGCTCCACAAAGTTCGTCGACCGATGCGTCTTCTCCAAATGCTACCTCATCATTGTCCGTGACCCAATCTTCCTCAAACACTTCACAGAAAGCCCCTTCAAATCCGATAGTCGTCTCACAACAAGAAGTGGTGGTTGCACCTCCGTTCTCTCTACCACCATCCGTCCCCGTCATTCCTTCCAACTCTAACAACTCGGGCACCATCGATCCTTCACTGATCTCGAATGTCGCCGTTGTCACAAATCACTTCTCGATCAATAACTGCGAAGCTATTGACCCTAGATTTATCACCTCCACCGAGTCTCCAAGTCGAAGACCTCCACAAGTCATCACTCGACCGAATTTCATCGAACTTAGTAGTGACAATTTGCTCAGTCCTCCTCTTCAAACTCCTGAACTTGTCAGCGATAACAACCTCAAACGAAGGTTATCCTACACCTTTTCTTCGGATGATGACGAGACCTCTGAAGGCGAGAATAAGAAGATTCGCGTGGATGGGCAAAAGTCCGTCAAGACCAACACTAGGAATCATGACTCGATGATCGTTGATGAGAAAGAGGAGTGCGAACCGGAAGGTTATTCCTCTCCCGGGTATGATCCGTTGATTGACGATAATTCCACCGAGGAAGGAAATGACTCGGTCACCGATGAATATCACGACAGCAGTGATGCTATCTATACCACTGACGAGGATGATGACGAGTACAGACCATCTACGAGCAGCAAGAAATCACGATCATCAAAGAAAGGGTCGATCAAGTCTCAAAGTAAGCACCGGGGTTCCTTGTCGAAGGTGATAATTCTGGGAAAGGGGTTAACGAAGTCAAAGTTAACCACACAGTCAAAGAATAAGAGTAAGGCGACCGCCAGTAAACGGTAATTTTACAATCTAATGATTCAAATTGATTATTTAATTTAATGAATCCTGCTAACGTGCGCGTCCTATTTATCTCAGTGGCAAGCACTCGAAGTCTAACAGCTCTTCGAAGAGGGCTAGCAAGGCATCAACGCCTGCTGACTCCTTCACCGAGAGTCCCGCGCCGACAACAGCTGTAATGACGACCGACGAACCTCAGGAAGTGGAAGTGACCTCCCCACGTCCAACTCAGACCCCCACCATTTTTGAAACCCTGACCAGGTCCGGTATCGACTGGTGCAGGTATTGCGGTACCACCGAAGGTGTCAATTGGAGACCTGGTCCTTGGGGAAAGCGAACTTTGTGCAAGTAAGTTATCTAAACGAAGAATCGATTATTGATTTGTAGTAGAATGATGTTTTAATACTATAATAATAATATTATTAGTAAACACGGTTGCGACTATAAAGGTTATGGGTTTGCTTGCAAGCTTCCACGCTTGGACTTGACCAGTTTTGTCGATGAAACTGTCGAGGAACGTGAACGTCCGGTTTTGCAACTCTGTATGCATCCTTTCTCTTCATGCTTCGCCCTAGTTTTTTGTTGCACTCCATATTTACGATCTTGTAATCCCATTTCTCCCCAATAGTCTGTACAGTTTGTCAAAAGCAAGAATCATACGTTGGAAACGTTCTTGTCCGTTGTGAAGGTTGTCCCAAGGCATTCCATCAAAAATGTTTCACGACTGGCATCGATGATGAAACTGTGAACGGTGTTGAACCTTGGTACTGTGAAAAGGGATGCCAAGATAACTTACGAAGGAAGCGAATAGGTATGTTTCCTACACGAATCTCGTGGTCGATTCACGCGTGTAAGCGGGCGAAATAATGACGTTCTCATTCTCTGATGATAGTTGTCGAACTTCCCCGTAAGAGACTTCCCCTCATGTCTACTCCAAAAGCCCACGCTTCTACATCGATTACCGATCCATCCTTAATCTCAAACTCTGGTACCACTTCTCGTCCCCGAACTTCCCGAAATTCTTCGAGAGTTTAATCACTCTTCAATTCTGGACATTATTTTGTGGCATTGATTATTATTTATTTATTCTTTATTTATTTATTCTTTCGGTGTGATAAGGGTGGATGAATGAATTGGAACCAGCGCTCTTCCGCCAGGGTTTTCCTACATTTTGTTGAATAATCGACACGGACATTAGTCATTGTTTCTTTCGCACAAAGAACCTAAGATGAGCTCCAATAGTCGCTCTTGGCCGAAGAGCAAGGTTGCTCTGATGTTTAAACTTTTTTGGTTTGCGTCTCATCAGCAAGACGGTTGACCTGGAATAACTTTAGATGCTCACAAATATCTATTATTATGTGGGATTAATGCTTTCCTGAGGGTTCTATCTTGCGAGGCGGTGTAATTTTTCTTTTCCCAAACGCGTCTTTCGTGACGTTGTTTGTATTATATATATATTTCGCAACACACATATATATATACAGACATTGTATATATTACTTCTAGACAACGGACAATATACTTTTATAAAAAAAATTTCTTATCCCGGTGGGTGCAAAACGTCGAAAAAACGATATTGATTATCGTTTTTTTTATAGGAAATTATAGAATCACGAACAATTAATATTTCTTTAGCATTTAAATAGGTACTATTTTTTTTTCTTAGCACCCTCCATTGCTAAATTAGTTAATATTTATTTATTATTCTTTTTTTTTTTTTTTCGTATTTCCCAATTATTTGTTTGTACAGTGGGGAATGAATTTTTTCCTTATCTAACGATAAGGTTACATTAGAGTTTTATACAATTTTTCGTTCAACGAAAATCACAAACACAACAAAAAACCCATAATTCCTAGACTTATTTTATACGCATATAGATTGTATACAGACTGTTTTTTTTTTTTTATATAGAATTCTAATAACTTTCAAAAATTCTTCTCTTAATAATTTACACACAAGATTTGTAAGCTTTACTCGCATCTCATCATTCACCAACAAACACTTAAACTTTTCTTTTTTTT